TCAGAACACCTTGATGTTTCCCCAGAGAAGCTGGAGGAGGTCTGGGGTCCTCTGCTTAGGCTGCTGCCCCTGAGACCCGGCCCTGGATAAGTGGAAGAAGATGTATGTATTTATGGATGGTTGCTATGTTCTTCAGGTTTATTACTGATGCTTTTACCATTACCAGTTTTTATGTTTGGACAAAAAAAAAAGAAAGATCAGAATCCCGCTAACCCTTACAGTTACCTGCTATAATTACATAATCAACAACCTTGAAATGTATGAACTTCTCTGGAAATTCACATGAAACTGGAGTGTTTAGGATTAGGAGAACATTTGATAAAATGTTACGCCATTTATGAATATTAAACAACTGAATAAAGAGTTCAAAAAAAAGAATAATTTTAGTACTAGAACTGTGTGGGCTCCTTTTTCAATGCAAACTTGAGCCACATGAGTTTTATGGTATTTCTCACAAATGAAATCACTGTGATACAGGCGTTTTGATATAGTTCCCCTGATTCACAAAAACAAATACCAGTGTCGCTCATCTACATCTTGAGAGTTAAACACAACAATTAGAGGACTGACTAATTTGCGTTTACTAAAACATTTTGGTTTTAGACACTCAAATTCATTTTTATATTCATTTGTTTTGTTCTACAATTAATGGTTGGAAATGTTAACTCTTCAGAATTCATAAAAGCTGTAGTGTCACTCAGTGTGTTTTGTTTGTTTTTTGTCTCAGTATTCATGATTGTCTTATGTTCTACTCAATAGAGTCTATGTTTCAGTGCAGTACAATGCTTACCCTCCTCCTTTTAACTCTAAATCCAGGTCTAAGAATGATGTAGAATTTAGTCAGTCTGAGGAGAATCCTGTTACAAAGTAAAGTGAATTGTCCTCATTTAAAAACTCTCCATCAGCTCCATCAGAGATTTGAACCATTACAGGCAGTTCCTTGAATGGTTTTAGTTTAAATGCAAATGTCCTTATCGTCACACATCACACATTTTCTTCTTTTCTTACATTTAATGATGCTGAATCTATGTTTATAACTATTTAAGAGTTGAGTCTGGTGTCTAAATTTATATTACTTATACGTACATGCATAAAATGTAGGTCTGCTTTTTGTATATGATTTTGCATATGAGTAGTTATTGGCTGACAGCTGGGATAGGCTCCAGCGCCCCCCGCGACCCTGAAAAGGATAAGCGGAAGCCAATGGATGGATGGATGGATGAATATGGATTTTCCCCAGTTTTCTTTGTTCATGATTTCAATGATAAATATTTAAAAAAAAAATGAACAAACAAATAATACACTATTTGAAGGTTTGTTTGTTAGAGGTGTCTTTTACCAGGTTGTGAAAGAGTCTTAAAAAGCAGAAGTATCAGTGTGGAGGTTTTGTCACAGTGTGAATCCCTGTGATACTCCACTGTTAGCAGAGTTGTCCCATCTTACAGTAATAGACTGTGAGTCTCCTGTTTCTGCCTGTTTAATTATGAACTAGGAATCAATGTTTGATGAGGATTTAGAGTTGAATCCGTCAGAGGAGAATCCTGTTCCAAATTCAAGTGAGCTGCCAGAATAGTCAAAACTTCGACCAAATACTTATTTTCCACCCTGATTTACGAATAAATTCTTTACAAATCCTACCATGTGGATTCATGGATTTATTTTTCACATTCTGTCTCTCACAGTTGAAGTGTACCTCTGGTGCAAATTACTGACCTCTGTCATAATTTTAGGTGGGGGAACTTGCACAATCGGTGGCTGACTAAATACTTTTTTGCCCCACTGTATATGTCACAGTACTGGGTCTGCGACTCATATTTGTCTTTCAAGTTTTAGATTTATAATCTTTGATTACTGTTGTTCATGATTTTGGTTTCCTTTTAAGTTTTCAGTGACCTTAGTTCTCCCTCCCTTAGTGTTTATCTCAGCCTGTGTTTAGTCTCTGCTGCTGTGTTTTCTCTGTGCTGTTCCTGTGTTCACCGCTTCATGTCGAGTCACCCTTGTTTCTGTATTCGTTCATCTCCTGTGTCTCCCCAGTCAGTCATGTCTCTCTGTGAGTGTTAGTTACTCTTGTCTCTGTGACCCATGTTCGCTCTGTCTTCGCTGTCAGTTGGATCTTCATGTCAAATCTGTGTCTTTTACTTTGATAGTCTCGCATCCTTTGTAAATATTTCCAGTTTTGCTTCCTCCATGTCCCTGTGTGATTGCTCCCAGATGTGTCTGATCCCCTCGTTACTCCCTGTGTATTTAAGCCCTGTGTTTTCCTCCGTCAACAAACAAAAAAAGCAATAGAAATAGACAAAGGGAAATTACCTTATCTGTATATGTTTACATTCTCTTTCGACCTCATTAACATGCTTCTGATGAACTAAAGCTGATTCAAAATAATAAATCTCTGCAACTAGCTGATCTGATCTGAGTCTTGGTTTTTTTTTTTTGACTGAATTTTAGTGAAGCATGAATTAGTGAAATTATTGAACTGTAATATAAAGAGGATTTGTGTGGTCTCATTTTTCTTCGTACTGTGGCTTGAAATCAGATTAACCAGTTAATATGTTGAGAATGTTTTTTCATCAATCTTGTTTTACAGTACAATAACATTAAAAGCTGATGATGTGAGGTTTTATGTGTGAATAATATGTGAATATTCTGGTCCTTTGTTTATTTAAAGTGAAAGTGGAAATAAATAAAGAAATACAATAAATACATTTAAAAGAGCAATGTTTAAGAACTAATTGTTTATATGGTGCACTGAGTTTGTACCCAAAAAGCAGAAGTAATAGTGAGGAAGTTTTTGTCACAGTGTAAATCACTGTGATGCGTACTCCTTAACAGAGGTGTCCCATGTCTTACAGTAATAGACTGCAGAGTCTTCCTCCTCCACATTTTTGATCATCAAACGATAATCTGTTGTTGACTGATGAGTACATGTGAATTTTGGAGAAGAGAATCCAGAGCCATAGTATTGAGAACTCCAGTCATGACGAAACCTCACTACATACTGAGGAACTCCTCCTGGAATCTGTTTATACCACCAAGCAGGTTCATTAGTAACAGTCCCCAGGTTACAGTCCATGGTGGCTGTCTCTCCTTTGCTCACTGATAGCACAGTTTTCTGTGTAACCACTGTCACACCACTCACACCTGCAAACAACAAGAAGGCATGTCAAGACAAACACACAGACATCTTTATTTATGTGTGTAATATAAGTCAAAGTGTTTACATGTTAGAGCAGTGATGAGAGCACAGAGAGTCACCAGCATGATGTCGACGTGAACTAAGAACTGATTTGAGGAAAAGGTGCTGGAGGAGCCATTTAATACAACTAACAAAAGGAGGAGTTGTGTCTCCTCCTTTCACCCTATTACATCATCGTAATATTGTTTTTCTTTTTTCTTCATTTGTTTCTTAATTAGCGTCATAATCTATATATTCTAATTGAAGCATAAAATCAGAAAAATGGGAAAATTATACCGAGGCCTCCAGAAGCACAAAGGGAATAATACCTTTATTAAAACTTCATTGGAAAACAACATTGACATTTCTCATTGACTTTGACAAATGCTGCAGCTCATCTTCTGACACGAACCAATAGATGTGAACATATTTCTCCGGTGCTTGCCTATCTTCACTGGCTCACCGTTCACTTCAAACTTGATTTTAAAATTTTATTGTTGACTTACAAAGCCCTGAATTGACAGGCTCCGGGGTATTTGTCTGACCTCTTACAGCCTTGTGTGCCCTCTAGATCTTGTCGATCAAGTGATCTTTTGCTTTTAAACATACCAAGGTCGAGGTTGGTTCACAGAGGTGATCGAGCGTTTGGGGTTGTAACACCTAAACTGTGATATAATCTACACCAGGGATGGGCAACTCTAGGCCTCGAGGGCCAGTGTCCTGCAGGTTTTACATATCACCCTGGGTCAACACACTTGAATCAAATGATTAGTTCATTACCAGCCCTCTGGAGAACTTCAACACATGTTGAGGAGGTAATTTAGCAATTTGAATCAGCCGTATTGGATCATGGACACATCTAAAACCTGCAGGACACTGGCCCTCGAGGCCTGGAGTTGCCTACCCCTGACCTACCCTTACACATCAGACAGGCTCCTACTGTCAATCTTTTTAAATCTCATATTAAAACACTTTTGTATTCATTGGCTTTTAATACAGTAAGAGAGTTTTTTGATATTTGTTTGGCATTTGGTGTTTGGTACTAATTATTTTGTATTTTTATACAGCACTTTCGTCAATTGCTGTTGTAATTACATGTGCCATGTGAATAATAAAAAAAGAAACTAATGTTTAGACCATTTAACATAATTCAGCACCTTCTTTATCTAGAGTGGACAGCAGGTATCTGAATAAACACTAACACTGCATCAGCATCTGCCAGCAAACACATAAAGAACATGAGTGAAATGTGTTTCTCCAAAAAGATGGGCTATGAAACAGATGAGAAGAACGTCTTACACTTTAGAGAAGTGATGAGAGAGCAGACAATCCCCAGCATGTTGTCAGTGTGAGGTGTAAACATCCTTTACTATTCAGCTGAGATGTGAAAACGATTGTAGTGACAAGAGAAGCAACAGATAAAATGCAATGTAGCTGCATTTTTATTTCATATGAAACATTTTTAAAACTATTATGCAACTTTATCAGTATCCGTTTGGGTTGATTAATGTCATTTACTGCAGCTAGAATGTGACAGTTATCAGAGTTTTAGACAACTGTTTGTGAAATTGCTGTTATTTAAAAACATGCACATAATTGTGTTCATATATATGGCAATTTGTGTTTTTGGTGGTCATCATATTCCTCGATATTATATACTTTCAGTGATGATAGTTAAAATGTATCAAAAAGAGAAATTCAGTGTTTATTAATAGACTGTCTGAAGTTGTTGAGTTTTCAATGATGAACATTAAAATAAATGAAAAATAACAATAAACACACTATTTGAAGGTGGTGGGTTTACACTGAGTTTGTTGAATGGGTCTTTTGTCAGCATGTGAAAAAAAGAGCATCAAAAAGCAGAAGTATCAGTGGGGAGGTTTTTGTCACAGTGTAAATCACTGTGATACAGCAGCAGAGCTGTCCCATGTCTTACAGTAATAGACTGCAGAGTCTCCCTCCTCCACATTGTTGATGATCAAACGATAATCTGATGTTGACTGATGAGTGGATGTAAATTTTGGTGAGGAGAACCCAGAGCCATAGTTTGGAGAACTCCAGCCATGATAAAACCTCAGCACATACTGAGGAACTCCTCCTGGAATCTGTTTATACCAATAAGCAGCACTGCCAGTAACAGTCCCCAGGTTACAGTCCATCGTGGCTGTCTCTCCTTTCCTCACTGATAAAACAGGAGGTTTCTGTGTCACCACCGTCACACCACTCACACCTGCAAACAACAAGAAGACATAGAGTCAAGAGAAACACACTGACATTTAACTGTAACATGAGGTCTAGTCTTCAGTATATTTTAGACCCTTTACATGTTAGAGCAGTGACGAGAGCACAGAGAGTCACCAGCATGTTGTCAGTGTGTGTTGAGAATGGATTTGTATTTTGGAAAGAGATTAGACTCCTTCTGTAGAGGAGAGGAGGTGTGAACCATTAAATATATCACTGAAACTCAGAGAGTCTGACAGGAGGAGGAGCGTTGGATTCGTCCCCCTTTCTCTAACCTGTATTATTAACATTATTTTCATAAACACTGATGTTGGTAATGTTTTCTTCTTCTTTTTCCCCTTTTTTCATTTCTTTTTTGTTTGTTTGTTTGATTGTTATTTTGAATTTTATAATGGTTACTATCTCCACATCTAAAGTGAGGCAGGATTATAGTTGGTTATATTTGTGCTTTATTCAAAAACTATGCCTTGATGTAACTCTTGATAAATTTGAATTCATAACCGTCTGAGGTTCTTGTATATTTACCTCACTAAACGTTACGTTAGTGAATACTTTCACACTAACTTGATCAGACTGCTTTTGCAGCTTTTTCTCCCAGCACAGCTCTCTCCTCCAGTCCGAGTCACCTCCTGGTAGAGGGAGAGCCTCATTAGCTGATCAGCCCCAGCTGCAGTTAAGTAGCAGAGGGGGTTGTTAATCAGCACAGGAGCACAGAGGCTGCAGTCTGAAAATACACAGTGTTTAACAGCTATAAATGCCATAAAAGTATGAAAGTCTACAAAATGACAGTAATGATATTAGCATTATTTACAGAAACATTACGTTTTCAGCTTAAAATTTCCAAACTATGAAAAACCATTAAGAACATCCAGTGAAAGGGAAGCACAGAAAATATATGGTGTTCCAAAAAAATTAAAGAAACACTTTTTAAGAGTATCACATCAAGTATGTTAAATTTCTGGTCTGATCAGTCAAGAAGCAGAGGTTTGTTAGATTGTTAATCAATTTCAGCTGCTTTAGTCTTAATGCAATCAACAACAGGTGCACAACACGGGCAATGGTGAAAGAACAATCAAAACAAATGATTTTACACGTGGGAGTCACTGGCATTTTCCCCTTTTACTTTTTCTGAGTGTTTCTTAACTAGTTTTGTATTTGGTTATGGTCAGTGTCTTAGCTGGTAGCATGAAGAAAAACCTGGACTCCAAATCCTCCAGTACGGCGGAGGAGTGTGTGTCTCTGGTCCAGTGGATTCCGGGTTCCTACTGGTGCACAACAATACTCATGAGGAGAGAGCATACAGGGACTTCCTGAAGACCAAGTGAACTGTAAAGGAGTAGAGCTGCAGTAAAGATTAGTTACAGAGCTGGACTCCATTTAGTTTATTTTATTATGAGAAGTTCAAAGACCAAACCAAAGAGGTAAACTGCCTTTAATTTACCAAATTATAGTGAAATGCAGCCTGAAAATATAATAATATAAATCACGTTTTATAGTCAGGGAAAGTCCCATCTCACTTTACAGAGAGCTGACATGACTTCATTTGCATGAAGTTATAAAAAATACCGAGACCTGCAGATGTATCCTGGACAGGAAGAGAGGGAGGAGATGTGATGCTTCATTAACTGAGTGTGAAGATTTATTTGCAAATTTACAACCGATGTTTTAAACGAGTGTCACCTTTCCCTTTGAGTTTTCAAGCAGAATTGTGTAATGATACTCTCCAGTCTACAAATATGGAAAAACAGGCACTTTCAGAGCATTTCTTTAGAGTAAAACAGTTAAATGTGGTTACACATTGATTATGTTCTCATATCTACACCTTACTAAAATGCAACAATTTCAGGTTAGTCATTCTGAATTTATGTTAGTGGCTACTTTGAAAGTGTATTCTTGCTCACTAAAAAAGTAAAACAAATGTTGTATATCCAATGCTTTTGAGTGAATGCAAAATATCAGTTCCTTTGAATATCTGCAAATAAACACATGACTTAAACATTTTGCTTTACTGTGATTTCTAACATGTATCATATCAAATTATAACAAAATTATGTGTATAGTACATTTAAAGACCAAAGTACACCAAAGTGCTTCCCAGTAATACCATAACACAGAAAATCACAAAATAAAAAATATAAATTACAGATATAAAATAATTACATAATTTAAATGCAGAGCCGGATGAAAATCACTCTAATTAGCCTCGGATGCTAGGTTAAACAAGTAAGTTTTTAGACATGATTTAAAAGATTGAATAGAATCAGATACGCAAACGTCAAGAGGAAGATTATTCCATAATTTGGGTGCGGCAACAGCAAAGGCACGATCTCCTCTAGTCTTCAGCTGAGATCTAGGTTGCACTAAGAGCAGTTGACCCGATGATCTTTGTGCTCTCTAAGGGCTATACTGACAGAGGAGATCAGCTAAGTAATTTGGCGCCCTATTATTTCGAATTTTATAAGTAAACAACAAGATCTTAAAATCAAATCGATATTTAATAGGAAGCCAGTGTAAGTTGGCTAGAACGGGGCTAGAACTTCAACATGTTTTGAAGTTCTCCAGGGCTGGTAATGAACTAATCATTTAATTAACCCACCGGGCCTTGAGTCCTGGAGTTCGACACCCCTGGGTGTGTACCTGTACCTCAGGTGGCAGAGCAGGTCAGCCACTAACCAGAAGGTTGGTGGCTCGATCCCAGGCTGCTCCAGTCTGCATGCCAAATATCCTTGGGCAAGATACTAATCCCATGTTGCTCTCCGATGCGTCCATCGCAGTGTGAATGTGTATGAATGGTAGATACTTAGCACTTAAGAGCTCAGAAGAAAGTGCTTGTGTGAATGGGTGAATGAATTAGTTGTATAAAGTGCTTTGAGTGCTCAGAAAGAGTACAAAAGCGCTATATAAGAACAATTTACCCCTGGTCTATTGTGTCAGCTGTTTCCTCACGTGTTTCCACTTCCCCTAATCTCCCTTCTTTATATTTAGTCTGTGTGTGTCCTTTCAGTCTTTGTCGGCTCATCTGTGTTACCTCCCTGCAGGTATTCATAGTTACCATATCATAGTTGTCTTAGTCCATTCATAGTTCCTCTGTCTCATCTCTGTCTCAGTTATTTCAATTCTTCCAGTTTAGGTTTTCATTTAGCTCTCGGCCCTGTTTGCCTTCGTTTGAGTTCATGTTATCAGCCACAAAAAATGCTTGCCTTTTGTTTACCTCTGAGTTCCATATCCCTTTGTGTCTTCACTTGCGTCCATTCAACAAACACACTGGCATAACCGGCATAACCTGCCATGACAATTACATTTATTGGCAATAGTTTGTTGTAAAATAATCCCATTCAACACAATTCTAGAACTGTATTGTATTCTTTTTTTTCTTTTTATTTATCAGTCATCAATAATAAAGTATGTTTTGTGGGGCTCCATCAAGCTTGGTTGTCTGTTGTCTTTGTGTGTTTGGATTAAAGAATGTTAGCTACCGCTCACCGCTCGTCTGCAGGCTTTATTTAAGTGGAAAACTTCCACCTGGACTATACTGTTATGAGTTTTCTTTGTCTGTTTTCTCATGCATAGAGTTTGACGAGTATTATTTTGCTCTTCTCCATTTCATCAGTTATGTAAAGTTTCAAAGACATTCTTCACATTTCATTTTTGTTCTACATTAAGCTTACTCTCTGCAGAACTCTATCAAAGGTCAGTAATATTTTGAAGAAAAACAAAAACTAAACATTTTGATGACTCTGTAGTGTAGTCAAAGTTTTACATTCATTCATCACAGAGTTTAAATAATTGACTGACTGTTGATGTTTTGACAAATGTGAAACAGTTTCATTGTTGAAGTGTCTTTTGCACAGATGAGTCTGTGTTATTAAAAGTGTCCTAACTGTTCTGAGACAAGCATGCACAGTGGGCTTTTCTGCTGTGAGAACTGCACCAAATTGATTGAGAGAACATGTAATTTGGTTTATCTGATAATTTGTGAATTTGTTTCACTGTTTTCCTTTTTATATTTTTAATTAAAGAACAAAAACTAGAAATCCAGTATTTAAAAACACAGTATCTGAAGGTGGTGCGTTTTCTTTAGAATTTTCTTGATGGATCTATAATCTGTAAGTTACAGAGTCTCAAAAAGCAGAAGTACTAATGAGGAGGTTTTTGTCACAGCCTGAATCACTGTGATACGGGTGCAGAAGCAGAGTCATCATATGTCTGACAGTAATACACTGCAGAGTCTCCTGTCTCTGCTCGCTTGATAATGAACTGGTAATCAATGTTTGATGAGGATTTAGAGTTGAATCTGTCTGAGGAGAATCCTGTTCCAAATTCAAGTGAGCTGGTAGAATGACGAAATCTTAGAACATACTGAGGAGCCTCTCCAGGAACATGTTTATACCATCTAACATAATTCCCATCATATCTCTCTATGTTGCAGTTGAGAACAACTTCTTGACCTGGAGAAACTGTGTGGACAGCAGGTGTCTGGGTCAACACGATCACTGCATCAACATCTGCCAGGAAACACAGAAAAAGTGAAGATAAATTTTAGCTCTAAATATGGAATAAAAAAAATAGGAATGAGAAGAAGATCTTACATGTTAGAGCAGTGATGAGAGTGCAGAGGGTCCACAGCATGTTGTCAGTGTGAGGTGTAAATGATCTTTACTGTTCAGCTGAGATGTGAGTGGGATTGTGAGAAGAGATACTGGAGCTTATAAAGACACAGAGGAAACCAAAGGAGGAGGAGATTCAACAAAATTACTTTCATTCATAGATCAAATGATTTATGAGGAGATTCATATTCATCATTTACACTCATGTTTGTCATAAGAAACTACTCTTGAAAAAAGTTGTTGTAAAAGAAACAAATGTTTATTACTGATGTCTTTATGCTCACACGTTACATTTTCTTTCTACCCACAGGTGTTTATGATTGATTACCAACTAAACTTTAATTTAGCTGCATTTAAAACTTCAATGTAAAACGTTGTCTTGACAGTTGACAGTTCTTCATTTACATGTATCTATTTTACACAACCTCATTGTGTAACAAACACTATCCTTGGAATGTAACAGTTATCAGAGTTAACCACTATAGACTAGTATACATCAAATTTATATTATTAAAACAAATCACATACAGCAGCATACACATTTTTGTGTTTGTTAGCATTGTGTGTATGATCATTTGTGTTGTTGTAGATGAATGTGCATATAATTGAAATTCCTTGCTTATTTATACGCTCAGTGATAAACGTTAAAATGAGTCACAAAAAAGTAACTCAGTGTTTATTTCAGTTTTTTTCTCCTGCATTTGGGTCGTAATCCTGCCTGTCACAGCCATAACATGACATTATATGGTTTATAATAATAATAATAATAATAATGTATACTTTGTACTATTGATCCCCATGGGGAAATTCCTCTCTGCATTTAACCCATTCACTCAGTGAAGCAGTATATTCCTCTTTCATAACAACAAATTAGATACATTGATTATCTAAAAAAAAAAAAAAAAAAAAGAAGAAGAAAAAACAATAGACATACACAAACACAGAGAAATTCATTCAAGGTGAAGGTAGAAAGAGAATGTAAAGATATTCTCTTTCTACCTCATTAACATGCTTCTTCTCTCTGCAACTAGAGGCTACAGCTTGAAATCTGATTTAAAATTAATTTGTTGACAATGTTTTTGATCAAACATATTTTACACCACAATAATATTAAAAGCTGATGGTGTGAGATTTTATGAGTGAACATTGTGTGTATATTTTGATGCTTTGTTTATTTAAAGTCAAAGTGGAAATGAAAAAAAAATACAATTAGTAAATTTAACAGAGCAATGTTTAAGAACTAATTGTGTGCCTTTGGTGCACCGAGTTTGTGCACAAAAAGCAGAAGTAATAGTGAGGAGGTTTTTGTCACAGTGTAAATCACTGTGATACCCCGCTATCAGCAGAGCTGTCCCATGTTTGACAGTAATAGACTGCAGAGTCTCCCTCCTGCACACTCTTGATGATCAAACGATAATCTGTTGTTGACTGATGAGTGGATGTGAATTTTGGAGAAGAGAACCCAGAGCCATAGTCTGGAGAACTCCAGCCATGATACATCCTCAGCACATACTGAGGACTTCCTCCTGGAATCTGTTTATACCAATATGCAGGTGCATTAGTAACAGTCCCCAGGTTACAGTCCATGGTGGCTGTCTCTCCTTTCCTCACTGACACAACAGGAGGTTTCTGTGTCACCACCGTCACACCACTCACACCTGCAAACATCAAGAAGACATGGAGTCAAGAGAAACACACTGACAATAACATATATGTGTGCAAAATAAGTCAAAGTGTTTACATGTTAGAGCAGTGATGAGAGCACAAAGAGTCACCAGCATGATGTCGACGTGAACTAAGAACTGATTTCGAGAAAAGTCGCTGGAGGAGCCATTAAATACAAGTATCAGGAGGAGGAGCTGTGTCTCCTCCATTCTCCCTATTACATCATCATAATATTGTTTTTCCTTTGTCTTCATTTATTTCTTTATTAGCATCATAGTGTATATATAAAGACTGAAACATATAAACAGAATAATTGGAAAAATATACCAAGGCCTCCAGAAACACAAAGGGAATAATACCTACATTAAAAAAAAGAACTAGACATACAAATAACAAAGGAGAATTTATCTTCTATGTGGGTGACACACAAGCTCAACAGACTGGAGAGAAATTAGTTAGAAAAATTGAATTTGTGTCTTTGTTACACCTTAAAAGCAATGTGAGTCACAGCAGCAGGAGACAATGTGGTCACATGAATGACACCCACTCACAAAATCTTTGGACATGAAAGTTCAAACATTTTGGGACGATACATGTTTAACTCTAAGAAAGGAAATAGGTTCTAAAATTCCTGTAGATCCCATGATGCTCTATCTTGGAGTAATTAAAGGGTATATAAAGGATATCTGTATGAGAGGATGGGTTTCTTGCAAAGGTCTAAAGGAGATGCCTTTTCACAAAAGTGGAAGGAATGGATTGCATTCATGCGTCATGGTCCTGGGTCTTCTGCACAGTGTTTTGTGTTTTTCATTCAACTTCTGTTCTTGTTAGATATTACCGACTGGTTATATGTAATGGTTTTAATGTTCAATGCAAAACAACAAATGACAGCAGAAAGATGCAGAAAGGCTTAGTTTCATAACTGGACTTCATTTAGTGTTCTTTAACAGTAAGTAAGTTAGGTTTAGGCAAACATCGTACAGTGCTCAGCTGTCTCTGATTGATCAAATGATATGAACTGAAACATTT